TTGTAGGAATTAAGTAATTTGCATAGTAGAAAGTTAGTAGATATATTATCTACATCTGTAAAATCAAGAATAGCTGTAACAAATCACTATATTTAGAAATGTAAACTAAATATCAGAGTAATAAAAGTAGTTGGCTTTTTTTGATGGAGGGAGGAGCAGGGATAGAACCCAAGGGTGCTTAACCAGTCAGCCACACCATCAGCCATTTTTATTTTTGTTTTGAGACAGGGTCTCATAAAGTCACATAGGACCTCACTAGGTTGCTGAGGCTGACTTTGAACTTGGGATCCTCCTGCCTCAGCCTCCTGAGCTGTTGGGATTATAGGTGTACACCACCGTGCCCCACAAGTAGTTGGCTTTTAAAGGAGAAAAATCAGAAGTGGTGAGGGTTGTTGTAAGATTACTGTTTTATTATAAGCCTTGTAATACTGTTTGACTTTTTAAGCTAGGTATTACTTCTATAAGTTTAATTTTTTTTAATAAGTATTAACTGGAATTTATAAATGTTTACTTTAGATGTCAAATCTTATTGGTCTAAAAGCTCTACTATAATAATATGACAGTAGCATTGTTTTTTATTCACATGTATCATTTTTTAAACCAGTTTTTGCTTTCTACTCAAATTATTGATATTTGGCTTCCTTGACTGTGATGGAAAAATATATTCTAAGAAACATGAGTCAGTCCTATGTTAGTCTCAACACAGAATGTAATTTAGTTAATATCTATAAATAGTTTGCAAATCACTGCTACTATCTGAAAGTTATAAAAGGGGAATACTAATCCCAGTACAGAACCAAGGAGTCACAGCAATGAAAGTGTACAGCTCTCCCATTAATCTTCAGAGGCAGGATGGACCAAAAGTTGACCGGCTTCTGTTGTGAGTATTGGATTATCTTCAGAGCTTTGTAAGATTAAAACTATTTGTTTTAGCGGCTGGAGTTGTGGGTTGGTGGTACAGCACTTGCTTGGCATGTGTGAGGCCCTGGGTTCTATCCTCAGCATCGCATATAAATAAATAAAATTAAAGTCCATTTACAGGGCTGAGGTTGTGGCTCAGCGGTGGAGTGCTCGCTTGGCACATGGGAGACCCTGGGTTTATTGTATCCAACTAAAAAATAAATAATTTTTTTAAAAAAGGTCCATTTACAACTGAAAAATATTTTTAAAAATATTTCGTTTTATCCATTTTTAAACTTGTTTATTAATAAAGAAGTGAAATGCTCACATCACTATCAAAACATCTATGTACTTTTATTTTTTGACAAATGTCATTAACATCAGTTTTATTAAATGTTATCAGTTCAGAATGTGTTCCCTAGTCCAAAAACACCTACTTCATTATGTCACTTGAAATTCCTCCACCTTTACCTAAGGGTATTCATTATAGACAAGGCCAGATGAATTTGCATTTTGAAATTTGATATTTATATTTTACATGCTTCAAAAGAAAATAAGTCTTTGAAGTAATGTAAACAACATGTGTGTGCACATGCATGCTATCGATCTCATTGTTGGCCAGTGTTTTGTGCATCTGTTTACACTTGAAGATAGCTCTTTTGGAGAGAAATATTTCAGTGGTAGGAAGGACCTAGGTCTAATTATTTTCAAATGCTTTAGTATTTATAATGTTGGTCATTGGCACTTAATTGTTTTGGGGAAAATATTATATTGTTTTCTCAAAATCTTTCAAATTATGAAAATTCACATTCTAACTTAAAAGAAATTAGCCTGTCAGAATTATTCCATAGTTCAGAATCAGGACACTTTTACTTTGTCAGAATCCTGAGAGGATTCCATTAATGCCTAAAGAAAACAGTCTTATGTAGAGGGAGCTCTAGAAATTTGAGCCACATGGATTACCAGTATGTGAATTGGCAGCGATAATTGTGAGAAAAGCAAGGTTTATAAATTTGGAAGTTCTCCTTAAAATGATATACAACTATCTTGGTTTGGAGGTTAAAAACCTTAAAATCAGCTTTATAACTCATCCAATTTAGGAGGGAATTATTTATACCATAAAGATTTGTAAGTCAAAAGTTCTGCTTGACACACTTTCTTAGGGAATTATGTGACAGGCATCTTTTCAGTGAGTAAGCTAAAAATTAGCTAAAGATGTTGAATCCTTTTCTTTCTTCTAAAACAAGAATCTTCTGTAGATGTATGAATTACATACTTGAGTCAGTGAACTTTGAAATATTCTCTGGCATTGTACTCTTTCCTTTTTTAAATTTATTTTCATTTTTGGTACTAGGGATTGAACCCAGGGCGCTAACCACTGAACCACATCCTCAACCCTTTTTGTTTTCTATTTTGAGACAGGGTCTCATTAGATTGCTTACAATCTTGCTTAGTTTCTGAGGCTGACTTCAAACCTGTGGATCTTCCTGCCTCAGACTCCCAAGCCACTGGGATCACAGTTGTGTGCCACCTCACCTGGCCTCTTTCTTACATCAGTAGATACTCTTTTTTTTTTTTTTTTAATTTTTTATTGTTGGTTGTTCAAAACATTACAAATTTCTTGACATATCATATTCCACACTTTGATTCAAGTGGGTTATGAACTCCCACCTTCACCCCATACACAGATTGCAGAATCACATCAGTTACACATCCATTGATTTACATATTGCCATACTAGTGTCTGTTGTGCTCCGCTCCCCCTCCCACCCCCCACCCTCCCCCCCCCCCCCCTCCCCCCTCCCCCCCCCTCCCCTCCCCTCCCCTCCCCTCCTCTCCCCTCCCCTCCCCTCCTCTCTCTCTACCCCCTCCACTGTATAACCCTGAGGGTCTCCTTCCATTTCCATGCAATTTCCCTTCTCTCTCCCTTTCCCTCCCACCTCTCATCCCTGTTAAATGTTAATCTTCTTCTCCTGCTCTTCGTCCCTACTCTGATCTTAGTTACTCTCCTTATATCAAAGAAGACATTTGGCATTTGTTTTTTAGGGATTGGCTAGCTTCACTTAGCATAATCTGCTCTAATGCCATCCATTTCCCTGCAAATTCTATGATTTTGTCATTTTTTAATGCAGAGTAATACTCCATTGTGTATAAATGCCACATTTTTTTTTATCCATTCGTCTATTGAAGGGCATCTAGGTTGGTTCCACAGTCTTGCTATTGTGAATTGTGCTGCTATGAACATCGATGTAGCAGTGTCCCTGTAGCATGCTCTTTTTAGGTCTTTAGGGAATAGACCAAGAAGGGGAATAGCTGGGTCAAATGGTGGCTCCATTCCCAGCTTTCCAAGAAATCTCCATACTGCTTTCCAAATTGGCTGCACCAATCTGCAGTCCCACCAGCAGTGTAGATACTCTTATAAAGACTGAAAGCCCTAGAATATTGTGGCACGTTGAACAGTCTTTTTAAGTCATTACACCCTTGTCATAAATGCAGTTATTCAATAATTATTTCAAATTTGCCTCACCCATACCTGACCTTCTACCTGAAACTTTTTGTATTAGAAACACTGTATGGTTTGGAGAAATAGGCATTAACTTGGGGGTTAAAAAAACAACAACTAAGAATTAGAATAAGAAATGAGGGCTGGGGAGTGGCTCAAGCGGTAGCGCGATCGCCTGGCATTCTCGGGGCGCTGGGTTCGATCCTCAGCACCACATAAAAATGAAATAAAGATGTTGTGTCCGCTGAAAACTGAAAAATAAATATTAAAAAAAAAAATTCTCTCTCAAAAAAAATGAAATGCAATCAGAATACTATGTGGTTTCAGCTGTGAACGGTACTTAAATCATTAATTTAAGTACCGTTCACAGCTGAAACCACATAGTAATTATAATATTATATGCTTGCATAATTATAATAAAATTAAATATTATGTGATCAATATAAAATGATATATTAATATTAATTAATATATGTTAATGATATATTTATATATATTAATAAACCTGAGTATTGATTTGGCCAAATTGTTTTCCCATGACTGTATTATGAGAAGTATGTGTTGTGAGGGAGTTGTGGGAAACATCTTGCCATTAGAAGAAAATAGATAGCTAAAGATAAAACAAGAACAGTTAAAAGAATAGTAAACAGGTAGGAGGGCTGGAGTACTGAATTGCTATTTTGGGTTATAAGCTTTAAAATCTATGTATTTGGGGGTGGGATTGTGGCTCAGTGGCAGAGCGCTTGCTGAGACTGGTCTTGAACTTGTGAGCCTCTTGCCTCAGCCTCCCAAGCTACTGGAATTACAAACAGATGCCACCACACCTGGCCAAAATCTTAAGAAGTTTATACCTTTCCTCTTAGCAAATTGGTGTGTCAATATTGGTCGTACAGAAGCAGTTGGAAGAAGATTCAAAGATGGAGATAACTTTATTGCTGTCTTAGTAATGATACTAGGATAACTTACATCCTACTATAAGAGACTGTTTAACCTTTAGGAGAATTAAACAGTGGAACATTATACACTCTTAGAGATAAAGTTACCAAACTCAGTGCCTTAGGATAATTTTCACAATATATTAAGTGAGGAAAAAGAAAGTAGATTTCAGAGTAGTAGGGAAATAGAATTCTAATTTATTTGGCTTTTAAAGTTAATGGAAGTGTGAGCAAGAGAGAGAAAGAGAGTGTGTGTACGTTTGTGTAATGTTAATGTTGATTATAGTTGCCTCTGGATGTGAGAGTTTAATGATTTAAATTTATTTTTTTTTCAACTATTTTTTTTTTAATTTAGCAAATGTTTATTTAACTATTTTGGTTGCTAGCCATAGTATTTTCTGAAATGATCGTGTATTTCTTGTACAGTTAAAATTAGATGGTATTTTTAAGAAAATGGTACTTTCACAGCTTTTTTTTTTTTTCACTAAATGATTAAATCAATAGCTTGGCTTTTTAGTTATTAAAGTGACTTATGATTATGGAAAATTCATTTATTTGTAATACTTAATTCACAAAAAGTACAGAATAAAATGAGACTTTAGTGCAAAGTGCTAAAGTATGTCTGTCAATATGATCCTAATAAGGATTATTTTCATTTTCAGGCAACTGCAAGAACAGCAACGACAGAAGGAGATGGAAAGGGAAAGGCTGGAGAGAGAAAGAATGGAAAGGGAAAGGTTGGAGAGAGAGAGGCTGGAGAGGGAACGGCTGGAACAAGAGCAGCTGGAAAGAGAAAGACAAGAACGAGACCGGCAGGAGCGCCTGGAGCGGGAGAGGCTAGAGCGCCTGGAGCGGGAGAGGCAAGAAAGGGAGCGACAGGAGCAGCTGGAAAGGGAACAGTTGGAATGGGAAAGAGAACGCAGAGTATCGAATGCTGGTAAGGAGCTTAGAGATGATTGTGTGTTCTTGCATCCAAGCTTGGATGTAGTTCTGTGTAATTTTATGTTAGTATATTTCGCATGTGAGATGGTTAGCATTGAGCAATACAGTTTGAAAGTATGAAAAATGTGCCTCAGTTACTGCTTTAACCTTTTCATTTTATTACTCTGATTGCTTAAAGACTTAAAGAAAGCTCTTGGAAACTTCTATTCTGGCATTCTAAATCTTCTAACATCCTTATAAATGACTATTAAAGTATAAGTGTTTTTATGGGAAATTTTTTGTATTGCATGAATTTGGAAGATATTTCCCTCATGAAATTAAATCATCTCAAATATTGTACCTAGTTTTATAGTACCATGCAGTAAGAAATTTGGGCCAGGTGTGTAGCATGCACCTATAATCCCAGCCATTCAGGAGGCTGAGGCAGAATGATCACCAGTTTGAAGCCAACATTAACAAGTTAAAAAGACCATATCTCAAGATACAAAGGTCTTGGATATAGCTCAGTGGTAAAGCACCCCTGGGTTCAGTCCCCAGTTACTCCACCCCCTGCTAAAAAAAGAAATTACCCTACTAGTAGTCTAGTGTTTTTGAAGAAGGAATTAAAGCAGTAAATGAAAATATTCTAAAACTGACTGGTTATTTAAATATATTTTTTAGTATTTATGAAAATTACTAAATTTGTTGGAATTTTTTGAAAGACATAAGGTTGAAATATAACTGAATGTTCAAGGTATAATAACATTTCTGGAATTTTAAGAACTTTAATTCCTTGTGGCCTATATCAAAAGTTCCAATGTGGGTTGATTAAATATCGGTTGGTTTGTTGTTTAAGTTAAATTCATTTGTTATAACTGCCTAACTATTTTTTGGAATTATGGCTACCAAAACAAAACTTCTACAAATAAGCATTGAATTAGGTTCCTCACCATTTGTAGTAAATATTTTGCCAGTCTTGCTGCTTGTCTTTTTTTTTTTTAAGCAACCAAATTCTGTTTGTGGTCGTAGTCATGTAATTTTAATGTCCTTTTTGTGGACTAAATAAAAAATTGACTGTACTATCCTTTTCTTATAAAAAATAAATCCATCAATTTAATTTATTAGAGGAAAAGAAAACATCATCCTTTTGTGGATCTTATAATGTATTTATAAGTTAAAATTTTCTTGGGTGAAAATGGTTATTTGCACATGTGCCTAATTCTCTGGTACTAACTGTAGTCTACATTTATACATTTTGTCTGATTGCTGGTTTCGTGGCTTCACTAGCTCCCTTTTTCTCTCTTCTTTTTTATCCTGTCTTTTGCTGCTGCTTTCCACCTTCTGTCCAGCTCCATCTTCAGACAGCTCCCTGTATAACGCTCCACTTCCTGAGTATTCCAGTTGCCAGCCTCCTTCAGCACCTCCTCCATCATATGCTAAAGTCATCTCAGCTCCAGTGTCAGATGCCACTCCTGATTACGCTGTAGTGACTGCTTTGCCACCTACTTCCACACCCCCTACACCACCAATGCGACACTCAGCGACACGTTTTGCAACATCTTTAGGTTCAGCCTTCCACCCAGTTCTTCCCCATTATGCTACAGTTCCTCGTCCTCTGAACAAAAACTCTCGACCTTCTTCTCCTGTGAACACACCCTCTTCTCAGTCTCCAGCTGCGAAGCCTTGTGCCTGGTCTACTTCCAATTTCTCGCCCCTCCCTCCATCTCCTCCAATAATGATTAGCAGTCCCCCCGGCAAAGCTACTGGCCCAAGACCTGTCCTCCCCGTTTGTGTTTCTTCTCCTGTGCCCCAAATGCCTCCATCACCGACAGCACCCAATGGGCTGCTGGACTCAGTAGCATACCCAGTGTCTCCACCGCCTACCTCAGGGCCAGCAGCGCCGCCACCGCCGCCGCCTCCACTGCCTTCCCTCGCATCACTCTCACACTGTGGATCTCAAGCTTCTCCTCCTCCAAGCACCCCTATTGCCTCAACTCCCTCATCCAAGCCCAGTGTTCTCCCTTCTCCCTCTGCAGCTGCCCCTGCCTCTGTGGAGACTCCTCTAAACTCTGTGCTGGGAGACTCCTCTGCTTCTGAGCCAGGCTTGCAGGCAGCCTCTCAGCCGTCCGAGACTCCAGCCCAACAGGGTAAGGCTTTCATTATTGCTACTAACAACTAATCACTTGAGTATTGCATAGCAACAAATTTAACTGCCTAGAAAAGATAGGGTGACTTTAATAGTTGAACGTCTATGTGCCATGTGGCTTTTTTTAAAATTTAAAAAATTAAAAGTAAAAGTAATTTTTGTTTATTCTATTAGATCAGTTGTATTGGGATAATTGATGGGGAATTCCCATATTGAACTAGCTTTTGTTATCTTCTGCAGTATCATAAAAGGTGTTTTCTAGTACTTAAATTTCACTAGGAAGACTAACTTGACCTTTTTGATCTACCACACACAAAATATATAATGTAAATTGTTTTCATTTACTTTCTGAGACAGATTTATAAGATGAAACATCCTAGTGTTTCCACTGGAGCAGTTTTGTTCTTGGGTCCTTTTCACGTTGGCCTCTTCTGTGTTTGGCTTCTCATATTGGACTTTTAGGATGGCTGTCACCTGGACCCTAAAAACTAATCCTGACTTTGTAGGAATGGTAGTGGCATCATATGACCCAAACTTACTTGACGTAGTGGTAGAAGGGATGGCTGAGAGAATAGCATTCTCTACAGTTATTTTCCACTCTTCCTTAACACAACCTTATTCCATGGCATCGGGGAAGGGAGGATGGGGAGGATATAATTAAGAATAAGCTTAACAATCCCCATCCCCACTAGATTTTTATATTTAGGATTTAGAGAGGATGCTGAAACAGTCTTATAATCTGGATCTAAATATACCTCTTCTCTAAAAATTGTAGTTCCTAATTAAAGTAACAATAACATTGTGAATAGTTTTGTTTTTATTGACATCAGCACTGAACTAGAGAGAAAAAGCCAGCCTGATGAAGCTGACCTTTTTGCCTCCTTCATTCTCAGAACTCATGACACTGCACAGGACAGCCTGTTACTCTGTGCTCTACTGTGAACCATTTATGTTTTCTACTGTACAACTGCTTAGGCTGAAAAAATTAGCAGTTACCACCCAGTATTTGTTTTTCTTTTAAACCTTAAGGGGGGAATTATCTAGAAGTTCAGTATTCTGATATCAAAGTCTTGTTCACTCCCTTTGTGATTTTTACAAGATTTGAACATTTTTGAATTTTTTATTTCTGGTACTGGGGATTGAACTCAAGGGCACTCGACCACTGAGCCATATCCCCAGTACTATTTTGTATTTTATTTAGAGACAGGGACTCACTGAGCTGCTTAGTGCCTTGCCATTGCTGTGGCTGGCTTTGGACTTGACAATCCTCCTGTCTCAGCCTTCTGAGCTGCTGGGATTACAGGCGTTGCACCACCACACCCAGCCCCGTGAACACTTTCTATACCCATTTCAAAGGCCAAAACAACTCTGCGCTTCATATTCTATATTATTTAATTATTTCTGAGATTTTAAATTCCCTTCAATGATTGTCACTTTTGACTACATGTGGGATTTAAATATAGAACATTTTTAAGGTACTGGAGCCTAGGACTCACTTCTCACTCATATTCTTAGTCCAATCACTTTGTCTATAAACAATAAATATCTGACTTTATTATAGAAGAATGTTAACACCTAAATTCACATGGGTTGTTTGGATTTGTTATTTCAAATAGTACTAACTATCACTATATAACTTGTTTGGAATGCTTATCTCTCCCAAATTTTACAAGCATTTATTTTGCTTATTTTCCCAATTCTGATGGGAAATATTTTTTAATTAGATGATCTGTTGCATAGTTCTATTACTAAAGGTCTAACATTCAAATAAGTAGTTACTAAAAATTTGGCTTTATATTTTAGTATATATTTAGTATTGTTTCCTTTGTTGATCAGTTTTAAAAACAGACATTATTACTGTATGTATATATGTAACTACACTAAAAAAAAACTTATTCCACTCCCTGGTTTATACCCAAAGGACTTAAAATCAGCATACTATAGAGATGCAGCCACATCAATGTTTATAGCAGCTCATCACAATAACTAGACTATGGAACCAACCTAGGTGTCCCTCAATAGATGAATGGATAAAGAAAATGTGGTGTATATACTCAATGGAATATTACTTAGCTTTAAAGAAGAGTAAAATAATGGCATTTGCCAGTAAATGGTTGGAGTTGGAGAATACCGTGAGAAGTGAAATAAGCCAATCCCACAAAACCAAAGGCCTAATGTTTTCTCTAATTTATGGATGCTAATTCACAATAAGGCAGGGTGGGATGGGCACTAGGGAAGAATTAGCATTACCTTAGATTAGATAGAGGGAAGTGATGGGAAGGGAGGAGAGGGGATGTGGGGATAGGAAAGATAGTAGAATGAAACAGACATTATTACTGTATGTATATATGTAACTACATGACTGATATGATTCTGCAACATGTACATTCAGAAAAATGAGAAATTAATTCCATCTATGTATGTATGTATCAAAGTGCATAAATGCATTCTACTGTCACATATAACTAAAACAAATTAAAAAAAACTGATTTAGTCTTTAAACATTGTAATAAATTGAATTCCAGCTGACTAATATACTGATAAGTATATTAGTCAACTTAATTTAGCATAGCATTGTGTGTACCTATATACAAAAAATAATACTACTTGGCTCTATTGTTGATGATCTGTCTTTAACATTTCTTCTTTGCAGGTGTTGTTTTAGGACCACCTGCACCCCCGCCTCCCCCACCACTCCCACCATGTCCTGCTCAGGCCTCAGCACTTCCTCCTCCCCCAGGACCTCCTCCACCACCTCCACTGCCATCCTCCGGGCCTCCACCTCCCCCTCCTCCTCCCCCACTTCCTAATCAAGTGCCCCCTCCTCCACCACCACCTCCTGCCCCTCCCCTCCCTGCATCTGGATTTTTCTCGGGATCTGTGTCAGAAGACAATCGTCCTTTAACTGGACTTGCAGCTGCAATTGCTGGAGCAAAACTTAGGAAAGTGTCACGGGTAAATATGTCTCCAAATTACTCTATTTTTAAATCTGTCTTATTCTTTCTAAATATCTAAAATACTGGATATATTATTCTAATTTTATAAACCCTGTGTTAAAAATCAAAATGGTTAAAATTTACAGAAAAGTTGCAGAGTGGCATAAATGATTTCTGTGAATCCATCATCTGTATTTATAGGTTAACATTTTATCATTACATTGTTTTTATCTGCATAACTTGTGAGAGTAAGATAGAAATATCATGCCCATTTTCCTAAATAGTTCATTGTGTATTCTTTTTTTTTATTTATTGTTTAGTTTTTGGCAGACACAACATCTTTGTTTGTATGTGGTGCTGAGGATCGAACCCGGGCCGCACACATGCTGGGCGAGTGCGCTACCGCTTGAGCCACATCCCCAGCCCTCATTGTGTATTTTGAATGAGAAAGAATGTTTACCTGCATGATCATAGTGTAATTACCAAATCAAGAAATTTCACATTGATAGAATATGACAGTCCGCAAATGTATCCAAATTTATTTTAATCTGTGACAGTTCCTCAATCTTTGTTTCTTTTTCAAAATTTTTGACATTTTTTTAATTGTCAGGGTTTTTTTTGTTTGTTTGTGTTTTGATTGTTTACATTTTTTAGATGACCTTCAGTTTGACTTATTTGAATTTTTCTCAATATCAGATTCAGGTTATACAATTTGGGTGCAAAAATACCAATAGTTATGGCCTTCTCAGTGTATTGTTCAAGAAGACATGATATTGTTTCATCTTATTATTAGTAATGTTAACTTTGATAAAACTCCCATTGATATATAAATTAATACTGTTCTCTTTATTGGTTCTTAAGGTTATAAAAAATAATATTTGAGTACTTTTTTAAATTAATGCTGATGTTTCTTCTATTTTTAATGTAATACATTCATGAGTATGATTGTCTAACATAGGAAATCATTATGTGTATGTATTTTCGTTAAGATGGAGGATGCCTCTTTCCCAAGTGGAGGAAGTACCATCAGCGTGAACTCATCCAAAACAGATACAAGTCGTGGAAATGGACCACTTCCTTTAGGGGGTAGTGGTTTAATGGAAGAAATGAGTGCCCTGCTGGCCAGGAGGTGAGAATTTTTGTTAATTTTATTCTGAAGATAACGAGTCAATTCTTTCCTCTTAGAGAAATTTTTACATTTTATAATAAGAGATGATTTTTTTAAAAATCCAATTTGCTATCTTTTTAGGAGAAGAATTGCTGAAAAGGGATCAACAATAGAAGCAGAACAAAAAGAGGACAAAAGTGTAAGTGAATAAAAATAACCCCTCACACCTTAAACATGAAATTCAAGCACAGCTTCTTCTTCTTCTTCTTCTTTTTTTAATATTTATTTTTTAGTTGCAGATGGACACAATATCTTTGTTTTTATTTATTTATTTTTATGTGGTGCTGAGGACCGAACCCAGGGCCTTGCACACGCCAGGCGAGCGCTCTGCCTCTGAGCCACAACCCCAGCCCTCAAGCACAGCTTCTTACAAAAACATGTCAGAGATTATTTAATATGAACTTAATTAGTTTGAATTTAGATTTGCTTATTTTTAAGTATGCATATCTTTAAAATGGCTTTTGAGTATTATTTACAAAGTTAAAATGGCATTATTAAAATGAGTTGAATATGTGGAGTTGTGGGAAGACCACTGAAGTTCAAACCTATAATAGAATCAGTTCTATTGTTATGCCCTACCTTTAAATGAATGAATGACCTCTTACTAGGGTTTTGTCCCCCATCCCTCCCTCATCTCTTAGGCTCTCAGTTTCCTTGTATTAATGCAAAATGAAGAATTTGATTAAATCAACAGTTTGTCATCCTAGGACCCCACCCCCGTTCAGCTGTACAAACTTTGCTCTCTATCTGTTCTGTATGTTGATATTCAACACCTAATTGTTTTCCCTGCACCATTTGACTGCCTTTCATGCCATCTCTCAAATTTGTCTGGCTTCATATCATTGGCTAGTGCAGGTTCTCCATGAGAACACTGAAGAAAGGAGATGTGTGGGGGCTGGTTGTAGCTCAGAGGTAGAGCGCTTGCATAGTGTGTGTGAGGCAGTGTGTTCGATTCTCAGCACCACATATAAATATAAATAAAGGTCCATCAACAACTTAAAAAAATAAAAAAAAAAAAGAAAGGAGCTGTGTGGACAGTGGGAGTTGGGAATGTTAGGAAGGTAAGAAAGATGATACCTAAGTTGGAATGGAAGGAAGAGAAGATAGAGGAAGGAAATAGTGGGGAATGACATAAAGAATATGGAAAGGGAACATGTAAAATGTTAAATCAGTACAGCAATAGTGAATATGATATTAATACATATATTTCTGCATATTTAGGAAGATTCAGAGCCTGTAACTTCCAAGGCTTCTTCAACAAGCACACCTGGTAAGTTAAGGAAAGATATTTTAACCTTTATAAATTTTCCTCAAATATTTTCCTCCTAATTAAAAATATCCCCTTTCCCATGTTTGAACCAACTGACTGCTTGGTCACTAAGATGTTAAAGTTCTTTGTTTACACTTGAAAGCATTGACTTTTCTCTGCTTTTATAATCTCAGAAGCTGCTGTTGCTTTCTTTCTGGTAATGTGAGATCTGTTAAAACTCAACATTTTTCTCATAACTATCTTTGAAAGTTATTTTACACATCTCTGGGTATTGTCCATGATTTGAGTTACTTGCTAAAACAAGGAAAATACATTATTAGACAATGGGAATATTTTTAATAGTTCTTTAAGGTAAAAGTTAAGTGAGTAGACCTGCATTCTATTTCAGAACATTCTCAAATTGCGAAGGTTGTCATTTTAACTATTCATTTGGGTGTTGATAATCAAGAAAATAAAACTTCTAGTTTGTAAGCTAAAATTTTTTTTTTTAAGCTTTTGGGAAACATTTTTGAATACAGTAAAATTTCTGACATTGACAATTCTTGGACATGGTATATATTACTTAGAATATTAACAAAACATTTTACTGGAAATACTTAGTGATATTCCATCCAAGATTCCCATCTTGGAGATTGTGACATATTTACTCATTCTTCTTTGTATTTGATCAGACTAAGAACTGGGCTCTTTGCCTCCTTAACTATTTTGGAATGAAGTAACAAATAAAATTGATAAATTAATATCTACAGTGGTCTATCAAAGTCATTTTAGAGAAACATCTACATTAATGCCTACATATTTTGATTTAGAGACTCCAGCTGCCTTTAGAATTTTATTTCTAAAACATATTTTTGGTTTTGTCTCATTTCTATTATTATCTCATTTTCATTATTCTTTTTTTATATCTCATTATTTAGCAGTCTGCTGTTATAAAAATTAATTATATGTACAGCTATTAAAACCACAAATAATTTAGAAGTAAATCATTCTTTAAAAGGTTAAAGAATCTTAGAAATATATGAGAGTTGTAAATTCTCTCCCCAGAAGGAAAGATCATTTTTATACAAATTTCCTCATAGTTTGAAAGTGTTCCTGATTCCCAGAACATTATCCATGGGCCCCAGCTTAAGGACTGTTCTTACCTAACATATATTTACTTATTTCAAAAATGAAAAATGAAAGCATGAATTTTTGTGTGTATTTGCATACATAGACAATGAATTCATTCAGAAGGGCTTGTGGCCTTTTTTTTCCCCTCTTGTTTCACTTAGTATTTTTAATTGGCATGTGTCAGACACTTCATAGGCGAAAAAGAACTGAAAGATAAAGACCTGGAGCACAGAAAACTCTAATCCAGTTGAGAAGATGAGCTACACTTAAGGAAAAGTTAATCTTTTATAACCATATGTTGAATATTAATATGTCAGAGAGGGAAGAGATTTTATGTGGCGCTATCTGGGCCGTTGTTACATCGTAGAGTATTTGGTATGATTGAAAGTAGGGGAAGGAATGATATTTCAGGAAGTATGTCATGAACAGAGACATGGAGTCCAAGCTGAGCAAAAAGAGACCAGGAGATAGTAAATAGACTCACCTGTCTAGAATAGAGAATTCCTCTTGGACAAGTGAGTTGGAAACAAAAAGGTTGAGGATAAAGCTCAGGAATTAAGGCTTTATCCTACACATACTGGGTTAATGTATGATCAGTTGGAACTGTTTTCAGCACATAAATGGCACTTGTGAGTATTGTGATATAGAATCAGGAAAGACTGAGTCAGAGAAACCAATTGGGGAGCTCTGCCAGTGTTTCCAAAGACCCAGCCTAGGCTCTTCCTCCTGAAACACACCTAGAACCCCTTAAAGAAGATGGCCTTATTCCTCCCAGCCAGCTGAGCCTGTTTAAGATTAAAAAGAGGGTTCTTGTTTGGCTAATTGAGAAAGGACCTCAGATAGTGGTTAAAAAGCCACTGCATCTTACCTTCTTTGGAATTGCTTTTCTTTCTACCTGCCTCTTTGGTGACACTGCCCTAATGAATGTTCCCCTCCCTGTTCAAGATGTACCTCATTTTTACTAAGGACTTTCCTCTTTTCACCTTTTGTGCTGATGTGTTAGATGTGTTTCTGATTCTGGCTGTCCTGGATACCATCTGATTCTTTGATGTTCCCCAGCCAACTCAGGATCTTGCCACCACTGTGGCAGCATTGAGAGAATATGTTAACTGTTAGAATATAAAAGAAGAAATTAAAGAGTATTGTGAAAAAGGGAAGAGGGGTGATTAATTAATGAGTAACGCAAGATTGGTGATGATTTTACAATGCCCAGATGCCTGCATGTAGCAGAAATCTAGAATCAAAAGCTATTCTTCATGAAAGAGTTCTCATTTAGTTTTGCACATAAATGTATTTTTAAGAGACTATGTAAAAGATGCCTAAAAGAATGCAGAAGCCAGTTGAGCAGCTACATTGGAACTCAGAGCAGTTTTATGGTTAAAACTATACAGCAAGATCACAATTCATCTATAGACTTGATTTTCACATGGCTCAAATGCCTTTCTTCCACGACAAGATCCCACTTCTCATTTTATCCATTCATCTACTGAAACCAATGACAGCATCAGAGAGTAAGCCAAATTAGAAAAAAGTTCAAAGCACCATAGCCAGCCAACCAGTGAATTCACTACCTAGTGTCTTATAATGAGAGCTTAGAGTGAGTTTACTTATATTTAACTGAATTATCTGTTAAGTTCAAAGAATTGATTAAGAATGAAGGAAATATAATAGAATTGTATGATTCTGAAATTTATTTTGAGTTTCTTAAAATTTTTTACCAAGAGGACTGTTTGGATTTATGAACTGCTGAAGTACAGGAACACATTACAGATTATGTTTTTGTTTTATTATTGGGACTAAATAGATTAAATAGTGTAGATACTATCTCAATTCTAATTAAAATTTTCATCTTTCTGATGACATGTTTATTAGAGAAACTTCTTACCATTTGGTGTATAGAACTATAATATTTAGATTTTATAATCTCAGATTCTTCTAGAGAAATGTTTGCTTATTAATTTTTCCTTATTTTAAGGTCTGAAACTGCATGTTAGAATTCTTATTTGTTTAAATTAATGTTTAGAATTTAAATAACATTTATCTACAGTCTATATAAACAGGATGGTATTTCAGTATTTTATTGTTTCACAGTAACTCTGGAAAGCGCATAAAGTGTTTAGAGTAACATTTGTTCCTTTCTTTTGAAGAACCAACCAGAAAACCTTGGGAAAGGACAAATACAATGAATGGTAGCAAGTCACCTGTTATCTCCAGGTATCAATTTTTTTTTTCGAAGTTTTATATTACATGTGTATCTAAAAAGAAGGAAATACAGTTTTACTATTGAAAGAATTATAGATTAGAAATTTCACAAAAGGAGCACATAAAATAGTCGTAATTCATCTATTATTGGACAGCCACTGAGCCCAATGTATTTTTACTAGTGAGTGCCTGATAAATTTTACCCTATATTTATTAACCAGTTGGTCTGAAATTTTAAGAATAGTTTTATCCCTCCCAATTTATTTATTTTGAAAAATTAAAACTATGGAAAACTTGAAAGTATGTTACAGCAAATACTCATATAGTCATCACATGTTAACATTTTGCCACATTCATCTTAACTATATACATATTCATACTTTTTTTCCTTCTGAATAGTTTAAAAGCAAATTGCAAATAAGTGCTGCTTTACCCTAAATATTTTAGCTTTTCTGAAGAATCAGGACTTATCCTTTGTAACCAGAGTTGTACCATTACAACTCCAAGAAATTTAACATTGAACAATAATATCTAATATAATATACATTCACATTTCCCCATTAGTCTGAATGACATCCTTCAAAGGGTTTTTTTTCAAAGAACCTTTTGTATTTTAAACTGATAACCAGCTAGAGATAAAAGACTGTAGTTTATAACAGTAGAATAAAACTTAAAACTTTGAATTTATGAAATAGAAATTTGCTCTTTCTGTTGAAATTTCTAATCATAATCAAGTTACAAAGATAGTGCCCAGAAACTACCATGGGGGCAGAGTCAAAGCAAAGTATTTCCTAGCTAGCATACTTGATTATCAAGGCTGAATTTAAGTCATAGGTCTTAAACATAGATGAAATTTTTTCTTGGTTTATGAAACAGTTTAAAAGGCTCATATGTTTCCCAGACCGAAAAAAAAAAAAAGATATGTATTTAGAGACTAAAGAAACTGTTTAACTTTTCTTTCTGAGCTACCTATCTTATTTTTGCCTCATGAAAAGCAAACTTGACTCTAATTATAGAAATCTATTAAAGAATAGTAAGTACAAAGATAGACTTCATAGTATCGCAAACCTGCTCTGTGTTGTCCTAAATTTGGATTTGGCTTTTGTTTGTTTTTTTCTGCTGGCAGCAAAGAAGATTTGGTGATGACACAATTATTTAAGCTCCACAAAGAACCCAAGCCTTTTTGAATGTATAAAAGCTTTTGGTTTGTAATAACTGAAAGATGGTTATATTTAAGTTCAGAAGAAAATGAAGGGAATTGCTTTTGGTCAACATGTTTTTTCAGTAAAACAGAACTGAAGTGACCTTCTTATCATATCTCTAATAGTTATACTTTTTCTTCAGTAGAACATTAGGAAGCCTGATTTTTCAAGTATATAACAGAGTACCGGGCTGTGGTGGCCATTTGTCCTTTGAAGATCTAAATTGTGACAGGGAAGAGTCCTTTCCTTTTTTTTTTTTTTTTTTGTCATTACCCTGCATTTCTACTTCATTGCTTCATTGACAGGAATCAGATAAGTGAGTTTATTTAAAATTAAGCCTGAGTTGATGGTGAAAGTTGTATCTTGGAAGGGACATGAAAGAGAGGTGCTCCAAATGGAATAAGATCTTTGATTTGTTTGGTCTCATTTAGTGAAGAAAAAATGTTCTTGGAAAGATTTTTTTTTTCTCCAGACTTTTAAAGGAAGTTAAAGTGCTTGAAAGGTCACCATTTTGAAAGCATTTTTTATATGGATTAGTTGAATCTTGCTAATCATATTTCAACTCCATTAGATGCTTTCCCTCCCAACCTGTACCAAAACAGAAATTCTGATACACTTGAGTATTTTCTGACCTCTCTTGTACTACTCTTTTTTTTTAAATATTTTTTGAGTTATAGATAGACACAACACATTTGTTTATTTTATGTGGTACTGAGGATTGAACCCAGTGCCTCACAAATGCCAAGCAAGCGCTCTACCACTGAGCCACAATCCCAGCCCCTCTTGTACTACTTTTGATAGGTTATATATTTCTACCATTTATGTCATAAAGTTTCACTAAAAACAATTTTAAACTTTAGATTTTAAAAATCTGTTTAAAAAGTGAAGAATTATATTGCCTTTTTAAGTTATCTCCCCTCTTCCCCTCTACTTTTTTTTTTTTTTTTTTTTTTTTTAGTTGTAGGTGGACATGGTACCTTTATTTTTTATTTTTTGGATGTTGATGGACCATTATTTTATAGATTTATTATTTATATGCAGTGCTGAGAATCGAACCCAGTGTCTCACACATGCTAGGCAAGCAAAGCACTCTCCCACTGAGCTACAACCCCAGCCCAACCTTTATTTATTTATTTTTTTTGATAATTTATTTTTATGTGGTGCTGAGGATCCAATCCAGTGCCTCACACATGCTAGGCAAGCACACTACCACTGAGCTATAACCACAGCCCTTCCCTCTTCTTTTTAAAAGCAAATACCTTGTCTGTTTTATGTTTATGAATCTAATCCTTGCCTTGTAGTGAAAGTACTCATTTGTCTTTGTAATATCCATGTGAATGTTATGGTAGGATGAGTTAAGTAATAATGAGGTGCTGCATTATGCTGAATTTATTAAATGAAGATGTCAGCATAATAAAAGCAAGAAGGTTTTTTAAAATGTTTCAAACTATGACTAGAACATAACATTGCAAAGTTTGTGAATTATTTCTATGGTTTTAATTTGAGAACTTACTGATCTTGGGGCTAGGGGTGTGGCCTAGTGGCAGAGTGCTTGCCTGGCGTGGGCAAGACCCTGGGTTCAATTCTCAGCAACACACATATAAAAAGAACCTTACTGATCCTTGTATTCACAATGGGGAAAAAAGTTCCTTATGTATCTGAGTACAATTTTGTCACAAGCCATAATGATTTTAAGTCTGTTAGTTAATATTCACTGTAATAAAATTTTCTTTGTGTTTTAATACTCGTTGAGTAATTGGTAAGTTTTACTATGCCTACGGCCTACAAAAGTGCTACTGTGTAATAATTTTAAAAATTTTTTCTGTAATTGTCAAGTAAATGGTATCCTCACATAAGTAAAATAAGTCTCAACATATCTTTTTTTAATTGAAGAAAACAATTATTTTAAGGATAACAGATTCCTTTAATTCTTGTTCTGTTTGCTATAACTAAAAAACCTGTAAAGCATTAACATCATGAGGATTATTTTTTTAAAGTTCTATTATATATTCCTTTAAATGGTTTTCCCCTCCATAGACGGGATTCTCCAAGGAAAAATCAGATTGTTTTTGACAACAGGTCCTATGATTCATTACACAGGTATCATCCTGCTGTGACTTTGTGGTTTGAGACTTTTAAATAACATGTTCAGGATAGGGCTGAGCTTTTTCTACCTGGATTGGTAATCACCACAAGAAGGATATTCAGGAAGATTGAGTCTCTCATTTTTAGCTTTATTTTGAAAACTTCAATAAAAACAAAAACCTGCCATTACTTTGAAGTCAGACTAGGGTAAATATAAAATGGTAAACAACAGAAATAACTAGAATGGAAATCTAAGGCCATATATATTGTCTAGGTTGTTCATGATTATGAGACAGGCTTTTAAAGCGTGGAAAAGAAGATCTTGTGCTGGTTGTTACTAGAACACAGGACAATATTATAGCCACAGTTCTGGATATTCTTTGAGAAAAATCTGTTTCCTAGATACTGTATAGTAAATAATCTTTAATAACTTAACCTAATATCCTGAGCTGATTCTTTTCTAGGATGTGCCTATTATGCCATTTTTTAATGAAGAAAACTTAAAAGATATGAATCATTCAGGGCTGGGAGGGGGATGTGTAGCTTGCATGCATGCATGTGTACACACACAAAAGGATTAAGTGTGGGGAGATAAAACATCTGTTTCTTTCTCAATTAAAAATTTTGACAATGAGCTGTGGCTGTGGCTCAGTGGGTAGAGCGTTACCTCACACGCATGAGGCTCTGGCTTCAATCCTCAGCACCACATAAAAATAAATAAATACATAAAGATAGAAAAATAATAATAAATAATAAAAATTTTGACAATGAAACCAAGCACTTTTTCGCTATTTATAGAACTTGGCAGAATGGGAATTTACTGTGGTACAGTTATTTTATAGGCAGGTGTCTAGAGTCAACACTCTTCATTAAACAATACAATCCTCTGAGAAACCCTTGTATTTTGTTATTAATTATGTTGAAGACATGGGTTAAGAAAACATTAAATATATTCATGTTGTCATACGCATCTGTTTTGTAAAATACACATTAAGTTTACTGAAAAACATGAATTGAATAGTATACAGAGGGAGTGCTTATGATTAGGAGTTCTGTAATCAGACTCTGATTAAATTCCTATCTGCTGTATACTATTTTCATGCTATGATGATCAACATTTGAAACTTAGTTTTGTCATCTAAAACTCCATAAAATGTTTATATTGCAGTAATAAAATAGTTTTTCCTGCTTTATACTGAGGTAGAGTAATTGTTCTGAATAAAATATTTATTTATTAAGAAAATTTGCTAGAAATATAGTATTTAACAATGAACTCTTCTCACTTCTTTCACACATAGTACACATAGTAATGTTGAAAAACCTTTTTTTAAAAAAGTGGTGATTACGTCTTTCCTTCAGTATGAAAAGTTCCCCCCTTGAGTTAATTCTCATGGTGGTGGTGGTGATGGATTGCATGTTAGCATGAATTAAATTTTATAAAAATTGCATGTTTCTACAATTGTTTATAACACTTATAATTTTTTACTTGTTTAGAAATAGGATATATTTACAGCATACTGCTCAGTCATGTAGCATATTATAGCTGTTCACATGAATTTTGGAGATATTATATAGCTTCAGAGAAAATAGCTAGTTAGTTATGCTACTTAAATATGATTAAAAACAAAACAATAATTAGTAATTTAATTCTGGAGAGCAGGAATAGATAGCACGAGTACATAGAATGCAGTTTATCAACCTTCAAGCATATTTACTAGGAGGCTAGGTATGGTGACATATACCTATAATCCCAGTGATTGAGGAGCCTAAGACAGTATGGTTGTAAGTTCAATTCCAGTATCATCAACTTAGTGAGGCCCTAAGCAATTTAATGAGACCCTGTCTCAAAATACAAGATAAAAAGAACTGGGCATAGCTCGGTGGCAAAGTGTTCCTGGGTTCAATTCCCAATATTTAAAAAAAAAAAAAAAAAGAAAAAGAAGAAGAAGAAGAATATTTACTAGAGTTGACTGCACAGAAATATTAGAACTTACATACTGTGGGGCCAGGGATATAGCTCAGTTGGTAGAGTACTTGCCTTGCATGCACAAGGCCCTGGGTTCAATCCCTAGCACCACAAAAAAAAAAAAAAAAAAAAAAAAACCAAAAACTTACATACTGTGAATCTCAGTAAATCTTAAATGACTGTGGAATTAAGTTGTCTCTTTCACATAATAAGAAGGTATATCTTCACAAGAGGAAAGGAAATATTTCATACAAATCTTCTTATCCTCTTCAGTGCCTACCTCACTGCTTGTTGGATAACATTATCAGAAAGTTATTATTTTCCTTTGTTCATATAAGCAGATACCTAATACCTGTTCATAATGACATTTTAAGTAGTACTATGTTTGGGTATTAAAATAAATTAACCCAGTATTTTGTTTTCATGAGCAATGCCTATGGGCATTATATTTTATGAATTATGAAATTATAACATTGTAAAAGTCATACATATTGGGTCTCAGTTCAGATTTCTAATGTTGGAACTCTCCAAAATTGAAGATACATGTGGTTTAATGAATGGTCTCGAATTATATTGACTTATGATTCTTAGAGATTGGCCACTTCTGTGCTAAACCAGAAAATAAAGGAGAACTTCAGGTCTTCCACTGAGAATTTTTCTCTTATTGCCAGTATTGGAGAGGGAGGCATGACTGATTTATTTGGTGTTGAAACATTTGCTTAAAATATGCCTAATCTCTAAGACTTGTCATGTAAAATTTTTAATAGAAGCTAAGTTTTTTTAAGTGTGTAATTATTATTGATTATTAGCTTCTATCATTTCCTTGTTGAGTTTTTTTTTTTTAAACCATGTAAGTTTTTAGAAGTATTTAGTCTGAAACAGCATTCAAATTGATGTCTCTATAAAAACCTTATAGGGAAATAGCCACATAGCCAATTAGATATGAATGTACTGCTAATCTTATTATCATTCTTTCAACATTCTTGTTTGTTTTAATGCTAGAAATGGAATAAAGTGAGGGCTGGGGAATATAGCTCAGTTGGTAGAGTGCTTGCTTTGCATGCACAAAGCCACAGGTTCAATCCCCAGCACCACAAAAAAAAAAAAAAAAAAAGAGAGAGAAAAAAAGGAATAAAAAGATACAAAGAAATCATGCTTACTAAAATGTTTTCTTCCTGCAAACTGAGGCATAGAATTTGTAAACAGATGTGTATTACAGTAAATATTCAAGTTTTTGTATTTTTCTTTTTATTAATGTAAAAAATATTGGTTTTCTATTCTAATCAGTCCCATGATTTTGACACTTAACTTTTTAACAAAATGTGTTTTATTTAAGAAATGTGTTTAAATCTGGTGTTGGGTTGGTAAAGTTACAATTATTTATGAGATCATAGAATCATAAGTGTGGTTTAACCTATCCTGGAAATTACATTTGTACAGACCAAAATCCACACCCTCGTCACAGCCCAGTGCCAATGGAGTCCAGACAGAAGGACTCGACTATGACAGACTGAAGCAGGTGGGTGCTTTCCTTTACTTGGACTGGTTTCTTTTTAAAAGATACCTTGTATGTGTAAGTGCATTGTGTGCAATTGTAAGAAAACCATGGGCTTCTGCTTCCCCTTACCATTTTGGGGAAAATGGGCTCAACAAATCTCAGTTTGGTAAGAATGTGAGGAGATAAGCACTCTCGTATACTTCTGCTTTTTAAGAGGCACTTTGGGGAAGCAACTCAAAAGCCATTGACTCTAGCAATTTCATGTCAAGGAATTTATGCAAAGTATTGTGAGAGTATACAGGTAACAAAACAAATGTGTGCAGTTATCTCAGTTTTTTAAAAGAAAAAGATATTGTTTATACTTTGAATACATAGTGCACTATATTTAATACCTATATACTCAGGAAGGAGTAACAGGTGATGAGATTGCAAGTTTTAACGTCTTATTTCTAAGAGATGAAATAATTTTTTTTAGATAAACCTAATTTTTGGACTGAAAAGCTATTTGAAATGTTAAATTTTATGTAATTTGAAAGAAAAGCATGTGGTCATTGATAATCAAGACCTTGTTTTGCTTTATATTAAGTATGTCTTTCATTTCTTGAAAATGCTTTAACATTGAGCATTTGCACACGTTTGAACATATGGTAAATTCTTAAATTACCTGAAGTAATGGAGTAGAAAAAGGGAATAGATTGAATTTGAGGGATTATTTGAAGTTTAATCTGAATAAGTATATCTATTAGCTCACATTAATAACCATTGTGTCTCGGTTTCCTTGCTATTTTATAATTGACAAATTTTTTCATTAATGAATCTTAACAGAGCAGTTTAATTTTTCCTAAAGTATGCAATGTTAAAGTTACATAATTTAAAACTAATCCTTTCAAAGATAGTTGTTTTTCACCAATTTAGGTTCAGATCCACAGTTCTTGAAGAAGTATCCAGGACATCCCTGTTAAAACAGAAATATAATGTAGACCACATACATATTTTAAGTTTTTCTAGTAATATTTTTAAAATGGTGAAATTAATGTTTTACTTGACCTGATGTATTTGAAATAAGCTCATTTCAATATATTGTTAATATATTTGAAATTCTATTGTTATTTCACATTATCTTATTCATACTAAGTCTTTGAACTCTGATTCATATCATTTGAACTAGCCACTTTCAAGTGCTCAGGAGCTATGTGTGGCTGGTGCCTTCTGTGTTATATGGTGTGGGTCCAGCAGGGTTCTGTCCATCTTTATCTCTGCTTCATTAAGCCAGCCCCTGAAAAATCCTAAATGCCCTCCAAAAGAATTCTAGATTCTTTGAAGTATTGCTTGGCAGCTATGGTGATTCCTAAGAAATCCCCATACTTAACACCAGGTAATCAATATTTGCCAAGAGCCGATTGTCCAGTAACATCCTCCTCCTTGAAACTTCTTTTATATATTATCTTTCAGACTGCTACCAGAGGACTGTTGTCTTTTCTAAAAACTATTTGAATCATACTTTTCACTGGATAACAAAATAGTTATTTTAGTTTTAGAAAGCATTCTATTTCATATCTTGCTAGGCTAGAATAAGCAAAGATTGGGAAAGGAGAAATATTAAAACAAAATTTACCAAAGTTGGACTCTGGAAACAAAAAATGGCTCATCCCATTTTTTAACATTCTTAAGATTTTATATGAATAAGAAACCTTTTAGTAGTAATTTCTCTCCCCCAACCTGGTGTTTTTCTCTAATATTTTAGGACATTTTAGATGAAATGAGAAAAGAATTAACAAAGCTAAAAGAAGAGCTCATTGATGGTAAGTCTCTGAGTAAATTTGCTACCTCTTTAAAATATTAAGAAGAGCTGTGTTTAAGAAAATGCAAATAAAGAAAATTTTTATTACTTAAAGATAATAACTTTATCATAGTATCCAGCTCTTTATTTGGCTTAGGATGTCAGGAGGAGCTCTCCAGCTTATAATGGAAATTATTTCTAAAAATAAGGATAAACAAGATCTTTAGTTGCAAATGTTGTCTGTTATTTGAAAAACTGGATGGGAAAATTTTTTCTTTAGGTTACTTCTACTCATGTATCCCACTGTCCTCTTGATGTTGAGCCCACAGAATTGGGTTTTTGATTTCTTTTTTGTATACAAAAAGGGAAATAAATAAATGTATACACTTTAAGAATTAGAATCATCTTTATAATAAAACAAAGATCTAGATAATGAAAGCTGCAAAAATCAATGTATTGACAAGCACAGTGCTACATGCCTGTAATCCCAACAGCTCAGGAGGCTGAGGCAGGATGGATCTCTGGAGTTCAGAGCCAGCCTCAGCAACTTAGTGAGGCCCTAAGCAACTCAGTGAGACCCTGTCTCTAAATAAAATACAAAATAGGGCCGGGGAGATGTGGCTCGCTGATTAAATGCCCCTGGGTTCAACACCTAGTACCCCCCCCCCCAAAAAAAAAATCAGTGTACTTGAATACAATCCTTAAAATTTCTTAAGAATTAGTAACTCAGGCTGGGGTTGTGGCTCAGTGGTAGAACACTCGCCTAGCACGTGTGAGGCACTGGGTTTGATCCTCAGCACCATGTAAAAATGAAATAAAGATATTGTGTGTATTTACTTTCAATCCTTTTTCTTTCCAGCAATCAGGCAGGAACTGAGCAAGTCAAATACTGCATAGAGAAGCAAACTAAGGAGAGATACAGAACTTTTTAATCTGGAGAGAAAAAGAAAAATTTCCTAGAATCCCCCTACTTTTCCCTCCCCCTCCCCCCAACCCCACAATGATTTTATGAGCTATAAGAAGAAAATGGAGACAACCAGTCAGAAGGAGGGAGAAACCGACATCCTCTTGAAAGCCTTCAGATATTATGACTCTGGCGATCAGTTATTTCCCTCCCAGTTTGCTGCTTTTTTCTGACCTTTACCACAGGACGGAAGAGAGTCGTATATGAGTTCCTGTTAACGGTTATGCAGAAAATACTAAGCTCGTCAGGCAAGATCACCATGCATTGAAATATTTTCATGTTGAGATAAAACTGCACATTTTCCACAATCCATTGCTAAAATAAAGAAGAGAAAGGCTTATGAAGTTTTTTTTCGCCCCCTAGAGAGTGCTGATGAAGAATTTAGCAAGTTCTGCTATTGTATTGTAAATGTTTCTCAGGTTTGTCTTCCTATCATATTTGATATTCCATGAATAATGAGATCAGCCCTGTGTAGGTTAAGATCATAAACTGGAACAAATGAAATTATATTTGCTTTCAAAGGGTGATATTTGTCAGAAAGTGTCCTAAAAATGATTGGTACAGCTTGAGGAATTTTAGAATGATAGGAAGTCTCTCAAGTTAGCCTTCATGCAATTTTGTAGTTTAAAACATAAAATTCATCCAGAATTTAAAGATTTAGATGCCTTCCTAAATTGTTACAATGCTTTACCAAATCTATGACTTCTACATAACACAAACCAGTGGTCAAATGTAAAACAATATACTGTAGATTTACTGTAGGTTTTCAACCTTTTTTAGATTTATGCATGTGGACATTTTTATAATGTACTTACAGTCACCACAATGTTAGCTTTTTTAATTGCAAACAGTAATGCATGTCACATTAATATGTAGTGGCCTTTTCAAGGCTGAGTCCCAGGGAAAACATTTTGTAGAATATAGGGAAATGGGAGGAAGGGAAGGAATAATTTTTTATTTGAAGTTAATTTCTGCACTATCTTTTTTCTCAATTACCTGCATGAATAATAATGAGGAATATTTTGTGACTTTAATTGGTAAATATGTTAACAAAACCAAGTACTTAACCTTTTACATCATGTCTTCAGCTATTTGTATTTTAACCGGTAATTTCAATGGTCTGAAACATGATACTGAGTTTCACATTAATTAAATCTTATTGTGGAACTCAAAGAGTTTGATCACTGAATTTGGCAGTTATTAATACCTAGGTACCCCTGCAGTGATACAGGTGTTCAGGTACATGATCCTGATGATGCAGCTGCCTTTGAATTTTGTTATGTTGAAATACAAGAAATAACAATGATGGCAGCAATTAAGGTCACAGAAACCATTAGCTAAAGGGAAACCATTGAAGAGTTCTGCAGTTTTCTTTTTTAACAAAGTGAGACTTCGGTGGTGGGAAGGAGTAAGATACTTTATTATCACCCTGTGTTGGGTGTGGGTGGGTGTGCGCTTGCGTGCAGTGTGTGTGTGTGATCCACTCCCTTCTCTTTGAAACTGGTAAGATTAAAATAGGGCAGAAATCCTATATGTTACAGTTACAGATTTCTGGAAAATTTAGGAAATCAACCATTCTCCAGGCTCTCCATCTTATGCTTGAGTTGTTATGTGCCATAATTGCTTTGAATTCTCTTATAATCAAATCTTACACTAAAATTCGGAAGAAATAATCCACCTTCATCTGCTTTCTAGATTTTGTACATCTCAGTTCTAAGACAAAGCTTATTGATAGCATAATTTTCTACACTCTGCAGATTTGCAGTTGTTACCACTACAAAAAAGTTTGAGGGAATTTTTTTCCTTGTTAAAATAGTTTCTATTTCTGTAGAAACTTCATTTTTAGATTAAATTGTGATGGGTGAGCTATCATAATTCAAGAGTAAACAGGTCTTTTTTCTATCAAGTATTCATTGTCATGTGATAGTAGTAAAGGCATTAAAGATGCAGCAAGCTTATAAATTACTATTCTCTAAAGGAAATAGGAGGCATTTTCATCTTTATTATTGTTCTTTTAGACACTTTGATAATATAAATGTTTATGTCCCCTATTAAATCTGGTCAGAAATCACTTTTGATTTTGTTGGGTAAGTTAAATAGTCTATAGTGGGTAGAGTACTGAGTACAAGTGGTCCAAAGTAAGATTAAAAAACTAAAATAAAATGCTAAATCTTAAAAGAAACTGGTTTATGCACTAAACGTTTTGTGCCTTGGTCTAATATTAACATGATGTCTGTGTAAAATGACAAAAAAGAACCAGTGTTGAATCATGCTATATTCTCCATCATTGTGCATTATCCCAGACTGCTAAATGTGTTCCTTCCAAGACGTTTGAACTACTCTACACTTTTGCTGTCATATATGACAGTCCTGTTGTTGTTAGAGATTTCAGTAATTAAAATGGGAAACAGAAGCTTAAGGTATTTCCCTAATCAAAACTATGTCCTTGGAACCACATTGTTATGATGGGTTTTGTGCTCTTATACATTGGATGTCTTAAGCTGAGTACAGTTTAGGGATCCCTTCTAATTACAGGAAGGTACTGCTTTCCTCAACACTGTGATCTGACCTGTGACAAATCTGTACTATACACTATGTAAATGGCTAACAAGTCAATTGCAAACAAACTGAATGTACAAATCTTAGTGCTGGTGCTGAAATCTCTTCAGAATAGTCATCATGATTTAAAAGTTTGTTTAAAAATTTGCAAGCATCAATGTCAATCAAAACTGAAGATGAAACACTAATGAATGTTGATTTTTCATGCTCTAGGTGTACTTCCTTTTTAGATTTTTTTCAGTTCTCTGCTGTTTTTACCATAACTGTTTCATTTAAATTTCCTACGTGCTAACTTCATTTTGTGCGATTGAAATAAAATTGCAGTACATACATGTTGCTCGTTTGTGACAGTTAGATGATCTTCTGAAATAATTTGTTAGTTCTAAAATATAAGTTACCCTGAATGTAAAAAAGAAAAAAAAAAACCCCTAAGAGTCCAAGATTTCACTACTTAAAGTTTACATATCACTATTTCTGTATGTTATTGTTGTTTGAAGATTTCATAAAAGTCAGAAATACTAAATAATGAATACAAAGGGAATGTATGACAATGTATTTACTTTTTGTTTGAAATAACTGTTGGGTGTCCCCATTTGTCTTATTTTCTCAGTACAATTTGACACAGTGTCACAGTTGAGGTTATAAATGTTTGGTTCTACTCCATGTTCAACATTGTGGGCAGATACTTTGATTCATTTGTACATTAAAATTTTTTCTTTGTGTCATTTGCAAGTTAAAAGACATTGGTAAAGGGCATTATTAAGTAATTTTAAATGTAGTAAAATCTATATCTGTATTGTTTATTCTATATGCTGGTTTCTCAAACTAGTTTTACATATATAACCAGCAGTAATTTTGTCTATTATAATAAGTATTAATTTTGAGTTCCATTTTAAAATTATGTCTTCACTAGAAAGTTGCCCTTTTATCAGACCCCAGTCGTTTCCCACCTTCCCCCCACGCCCCTGATATCTTCTCCTCTTTTGTGGACTGCACGTTCCTATTATTCATTTACATTTGTAATCATTAGGGAGCCCACTGTTTTAAAAATACCATTTTTCTCTCGGTCCCATCTCAAGTTTGTGCTTCTTTTTGTGTAAGAATGTTCTCTATAAACTAAATTAACTTTACATTCAAAAATTAAGCAACACATGCTAACCTTTTAAATTTGCCTAGTTGCAGTTTTTTGTCTCCTAAGTTTTATATATAACAGTGCCATTGGGAAGAATTGGCCTTTCTATGAAACACGGTTTACAAAGGTTTGCTAAAGGAGCTCTTTAATTCATTCTACGGCTATCATAACTTTATAGCCTCATTACCCTTAAATTCTACTATGTGCTGTCCTAATTCCTTTGTGCAGCTATTAAAAAAAAAAAAAGAAAGAAAAACAAATTCACTTTACAAAAGAAATTTACTCCAGCATTGACTTCCAAAGTCAAAATCTGATCCTAGTTGTACCATTTTGTTTTTAATAGATTAGTTAGTATCTGTGCATCCCCCTAAAGCTCTGAGAAATGAGAAAAGGATCCTAAAAGTATATTGAAATTACTGATATTTAATACCTCTGACTCTTCACCGAAGCCATTTATTATTTATAAGTTAGACATGTTTGATGTCAAAACTTGATATATTTATAAGAAATCTCTGTGACTAAGTGAACAAAAATTTTCTAGGTTCCTTTGATTGCATAAAGACAGAGGACATTTACTTTTAAGAAGTTTTTTTTTTTTTTTTTTTGATTAAGAGGCTCAACCTCTCAGGAAAAGCCATTTATTTAAGCCAAGCATTGTGTGTAGTCTGTAATGCAAATTTTGTTTACTCCCTGTGATCTCATAATTTTTGAGATGTAAAGAGATTTTTTTTTTAATACAGCATTGGAAAAAATAAAAGCTCCAAATTTTATAGTATAAAATTGACTTAAAAAAAAAAAGAAAGCAAAGATTCTGCAGTAAATCTAGTTTGGTAATAGTCACCATCAGTGGAACACTAAAGGTCAAGCCTCGAAAGAGGAAAAATGAGCCCTTTGGAAATAGAAAATTTGAAAACTGCTGAAATATGAACTATGTAAACTTACATGTCTTCCTAAATCATTTACAAGTAACAGACATTGTGAAAGGGTAATAAAATGACTGGGTCATGATGACTTAGCTAGTTTTAAGAATTTGCCACATTTATTGGTTCTTTCTTTTTTTGGTGGTGCATGGTGATTGAAACCAGGGCCATGTACATGGGAGGCAATCACTCTACCAACTGAGCTATGTTCCCATCCCTTATTGGTTATTTCTGTTGACATCTGAAGGAACTGATATTGATACATGTGAAAAACATGGAAAGGAAAAGATTACTTTTCAATTATTACATTTCTGTTACACAAAAACTTTCTAAACTCAATGGTTGGGATCACAGAAGGCACATCATAGGCCTTGAGTTCTTGCTGTAAACATGCAAAATAAACACTGAAACCTTAGCCTAATGTTTGAACCAAGGATAAGTCACTGAGTGGCACCCTAGTTTTTTTTTTTTTTTTTCTTTTCTTTTCTTTTTTTTTTTTGAAACATATTGAATAATCAGAACATAGTTGGAGTCTCTGGAAGCTTCCAATGTAGAACTCAGGATTACTGAGTAGAAGAAGAAAACCCAGAACCCAAGTAAGATAACAGGAGAGAACAACCTACCTCAGTTGTGCTCTCTTCCCTACTAGTTGGAAAACTCAGAATACATCAGTGAACTTGTCACTTAATTCAGACTTTCCTCAACAAAAATTAAGTTCTGAGGATACAGCTTTCAATTTTAATAAAAATTATTAGAAGCTTTTGTATCTCATTAGCCAGGTTTGTTAAATTGTATTTGTAACAAAAATCTGTGTATAGGTGACAGCTTCATCATTTGTTATGTTGTAAATCTGATTTCACTATTTCCCTTAAAGTCTTTGAAAGATTTCTTTAACAGAAGATGACAAAACTCTAAAATACATATTTTTTAAAAATGCACTAATACAGGTGATTACAGAATAAGTAATGGGTTGTTTTGTTTGGTGTTAGTCAATAGTTGTTTTTCCAAGAAGTCTTAGAATATATAGAAGATCGTGTGATTTTGAACTTTGTATTGTATAGGAAGTAGCATTTAAATGAAAACTACATTGATTGAGGGATATTTAGTACTCCATAAGGTCCAAAAGTTTCCATTTAAATTGACAGAAACTCCAAATAGGTTCTTGGTTTACCTTTAAAATGTGCTCTAGGCCTGGTGGATGTAGCTCGGTGGTAGAATGCTTACATAGCATGTACAAGGCCTGGGGTGCCATCCTTAGCATCGTCTTTTCTCTCTCTTATGAAATAAGTATGTCACAGAGGCTTTTAAAATTTTTTGTTCTTACCAGGCGTGGTGGTGCACGCCTGTAATCTCAATGGCTCAGGAGGCTGAGACAGGAAGATCACGAATTGAAAGCCAGTCTCAGCAACAGCAAGGCACTAAGCAACTCAGTGAGACCCTGCCTCTAAATAAAACACAAAGTAGGGCCAGGGATGTGTCTGAGGTTGAGTGCCCTGGAGTTCAATCCTCAGTTGTTGTGGTGGTTGGTTGGTTGTTCTCTAATGAACACCTGCTGTTCACGATCTTTAGTTGCATCTATGGATCATCTTTAGACTGCCCCACGTGGGGGCTGGAGTTGTGGCTCAGTAGTAAAGTACTTGCCAACATGTGTGAGGCACTGGGTTCAATTCAAGTCTCAGCACCACCTGTCAATAAAATAAAGGTCCATCAACAACTAATAAAAATATTTAATAATTAAAAAAACCTACCCACCCACTCCCTGCAACTTTAAAGGCATCTTCAAAATTTTTCAAGTCATTTCAGGGGAGAAATATCAGCTAAGATTTTCATCACCACAGCCTGGTTGAACCCAGGTGCAGACTTAGTTTGTTCTGCTGACTAAGGCATTAGGTGCTTTACCATAAAGTCAGGTTTGTCTGCTCTGGGGGCAGATTAACCCAACATTGTCATTGCAAACCTCATCTGATTGCTGCTAGTTGTGAAGCCTCCCCAGTGCCAGTAATTGGGCACTTGAGAGAAGTCAAGTGTGAAATTGTGCAGACCTGAGCTTCTCATCAGCTGCCCTTGGAGTATTGGTTTTAGGCACTGAGTTTGCAGCTAACATTTCCAGGGAGAATAATAGTTTATCTGGGTATTTAGGAAGGGTTAGATATTTAAGAGAAAGCCATATTAAAATCTAGGTATCGTTTCCTTTCTACTTACTTACTAAAGGGGTAAGAGTTGCAAGCCTCAGCCAGTAGTTGACAATTTGGTTTCCCTACTGTAGACTCTGTGCCTCATTGTAACTTAAAATTGCAAAAGTGAAATTTGGAGATATTTGTGCCTCACTTGAAATAACTGTGAGAAAACATGGTAAAAACTTACACCCTAGGTATGAATAAGGAAAAGTTAATGGATGATCAGTCTGAGGTTAGTGTGGTGTAAGTGTTAGTGACATGTTTTTCCTCTTGGCATCATCATTCATGTGCTATGACAGGTTGAAATCCAGCCATCTGCTTGGTAGCTTCTGTGGAGGCAACATTCAGGAAGGCCAGTCTCAGTGATATAATGGAATCACATCAGACCCAACTGGGATATGTCAGTGACAGTCCTTTGGACTCTATAATTGAGGTATTTCTAAGTTAGCAGACTTTGCAGAGTTGGTTGGAGTGCGATAGCTGTCCTTTCCTTTCTTGGAGAGAATGCACTTCAGTGGCTTTCAAGTCCCCTGAACTTGCTGTATTGTTTATTCTCTCACTGCCATTTTTGAGTGGAAAAAAAGGGACATTACTTCCCCCTCTCCACCTTTCTTATTTATATTTTAGTATGCAAATTCTATTCCTTCCTGCTTCCTTTTTTTTTTTTTTGAACCCAGAATACACTGTTAAAGTAATTTCATGACAGAGAAACCTTTTGATGCCATTTGAGTGCTCTGAGCCTTACTTCTTAAGTAAATGGATAAAACTAGAGCAAAGTCAGAGACTGAAATAGAAGGTTTGGTATTATAAAAGATGGATTCTGTTTGATAAGTTCTTTTACAGTGTGTGTGTGTGTGTGTGTTTGGAATTCAGTTCTTGTTAGAAATAAGAAGACATGGTCTTCGTGGTGTGTTTGTCAGGGAGAGTCAAGTGTTTTCTAACAAAAGTGAGCTAGGAAGAAAACTCTATCTTGAGACATCTGTAGTTGCTGCAAAACATTTCTATAAAATCAATTTAATACATGTTTTCATAGCTTTTCTTTCAAGGAAGCGTCTGCAGTCTAATAGAAACATGCTGACAGTCTCTCGTCTATATGGTATGCTATGAGCAGAGCAGAATTTCAGGCAGAAATTTCACTGATGACTTGTAGTTCAAAGTTTTCTGTTTCCTCCCACAAGGAGGCTTCAAAACCCTCTGTTTGACCTAAATAGGAGCTAGTTCCATTGTGCTTTCTGCTGACCCTGGGGGTAGAAGTAAGGGCCAGAATGAGCATGTGAATAAATGGCAGGAAAGCTTTGTTGGTGTTTTTTGTTTTGTTTTTGTTTTTGGTATGTCAGACAGCAAATCTTATTCAGTTTACAAAATTATTAAAAGGATTGAAGAAGCAAAAAAAAAATGGTGTAAAAGAGATTTCCTATAATTGTAGGGAGTAATTATAGGGAGTTATTGTCACACCTTGGACTGAAGGAACACGATAGAAGATTTGAGTTATCTAGTGCCCAGGCAAGCTGGTCATCAAAGCTGCTGAATTAGAACCTCTGGCATCACTTTGTGGAACTCAATGCATGGCCATCACTCCAAATTATACTAACCTAAGAATCAATCTATTGAGCTTGTCCTCCATGACATTTGTTTTAGCTTTTTTTGCTACTGTGACCCAACACCTGACAATACTTAGAAGAAGAAAAGTTTAAAAATATGGCGCCTCACAGTTTCAGAGATCTCAGTCCATAGATAGCTGACTCCATTCCTCAGGGCTTGGGAGAGGCAGAACATTCCTGCTAGAAGGGTGTGGTAGGTCAGCACATGACCACAAAAAGCAGATATTTTTGTTTTTTGAGTGATGAGGGAGTCCGTGATGATCCTTAGAATTGTATCCAGTCTCCATTGTGAGTTTTAGAATGTTAAATACATTTTCTTTTCACACCTACCAAGTTGATAGACCAAAAACATACACTGAAATAGCACAAAAGATAAAATTTAAAGGGGATTTTTCTCATGGTCCAAATGGTGGTGAGAGCCCATGACTTTGATAATATATACTGGAATTGGAATCAAATCTCATTTACTGCAAATTTTAGAACTAGAAGTGTGCATTTATGTCCTTAAAAAATTATGCAGAGCTCTTTGTTAAAGATGATAAGCAATTTGCAGCCCTTGAACTGGGACTTTAAAATCAGGAAGAGAGCCTCTGCAAGTGGCATGCACTGAAATCCCATTCTAAAAGTTAAGGTAGACTCAAATGTATACCAACTATTTTAATTATGAACCATTTAGAGTAAAAACTTCTGGGTGTCATATCTCATGGAATCTGTGAATTACAGACCTTGCTGAATTCATGAGAAAGAAAACTGGTTGCAACTGGTTTAAGTCAACATGTTAAAAATTTCTACATGATTGACTCAAATGATTTGAAAGTCCAAATAAAGCATGATATCGTTGTCAGGAAACATCATCTTCTAAGCTTGTTATCTGCTTTTATGAAGGGAAAGTGGAAGAGAGAGTGAGATATGAAGCCAAAGTAGGATCAGACAGCACCTGAGTTTTGCACCAAAGTTTCAAATGTGAATAAACAAAAAGGAGGACCATTTGTAAGCCAACCTAGGAGGACTTGCCAGAAAGTAGCAGCCCCTGCTACACAATACAGTGCCTTCAAAATGATGCTCTGTGTGAATTGCATGCAATTTCATGTAACCCTGAAGTGTAACCTGTATGTGCATGATCTGTCTAGAATGTGTAAAGTTAAGATTCAGCAGAAAGGGGCCTAGCTCTGTCACTGATGGGTCAGTGAGCCTGCTGAAGTCGTTGGACTTGATGTGACCTGGGTCTGAACCCTCACACCCCTGAGTCTGCATTAAACAACCTTGTTGAAATTCGATTCATCTCTCCCTTTCAACTTTCCTACTTTGCAGCTTTGCTGGTTTTAACTGCT